TCATCTAAGGGTATTGACATGAACCTGTTATTGACTGCGATCTCACAAAATATGTCTCAAATGATGGCTGCACAAGAAGCCAGCATTTCACAAAAGTTGGATGCACAAATGCTTGAACAGAGAGAGCAGATATCATCCTTGAAAGGAACAATAGCGCAAATACAGCAAAATCTGGTGAGAAACAGCGCGGAACTTAAGGAAAGGCAAGATCTAATTGAGGCCGAGGTCAACGCATTGAAAAGTCGTTTCCGGGAATTGCAGCTAAATCGTCCAACCGCTTCAGTGAACGCTCCGAAGGTAAAAACACCATATTTTGACGGGAAAATCCCATTTCAAGTTTTTAAGCTCCAATTCGAGAAGATAGCTGAAACAAACAACTGGAGCATAGAGGAAAAATCGGCTACACTATTCGTTGCGTTGGAAGGACCTGCAGCCCAACTTTTGCAAACCATATCCGTAAACGAGAGAAATGATTACGACGGATTGATGCAAGCCCTGGAGAGACGCTATGGTAGCGAACACAGAAGACAGATTTACCTGATGGAGTTAGAAAAGCGCGACCAAAAATCTAACGAATCTCTGCAGGAATATGCTTCGGAAGTTGAGAGATTGGCTCATTTGCCTATTGGAGACACATCGGGTGAGCATCTTGAAAGGGTGAAGATACAAAGGTTCATCAGCGGAATAAAAGACGTGTACACCAAGCGAGAGACATATGCGAATCCAAAGTTGACATTCGCTGAAACTGTTGCGTATGCACAAACACGTGAAACGGCGGCACTCATAAGCAGACCATCATACAAAGTCAATAAATTGGAGGTTGGAACACCAGATGTGATGACGGAAATATTGAGAACTTTGAAATCGCTAGAAGAGATGTATCTGTATCTGGTTTCCAGACTCAAGTGGGAAAATGCTTTAAATGTGGAAAGCCTGGTCACTTCGCACGCGAATGCAAAACAAGTTTCAGTAGACAGGAGGTACAGCGAAAACGGAAGGCAGAGGAAGATGCACCATCAACTTCTCAAAGTTATTGCTTCAGAATCGAGCACCGCAAGGGGAATACGCACGGAAATGCTGGCGCTATGTCCCGTCGACCATATAATATGGAATGGCAACATTGCTCAAAAGCTGAGAGTAAAGAAGTGAAAGATCTTAGTAAGTTGAGAATGGATGTCGATTCTTTAAACTTAGATGCCCTCAATAGAAGTATTCAGGGAGCTGATGATGGGATGGAAACTAGTCTATACCAACAGGAAGCAATGACAATGTTGAATGATTTTCAGGGAATGAATCAAGATGAAATTAATAGGGTTAAAAATGAGATTGACAATTTAGGTGCAAGCTACATGAACCAATCCTGGGCAGGATCAAACGAATCTGATACTGAGAATATAAGTCCACCTGAAATTAAAACATTCACATCGGAAGGGACTGAATTACTAGAAATTAAATTGAGAAAAAATTCTGAGTATATATCAATAACACAATTACATCGTATTTTTGATAAAATGAGTCAAATGTTTATGAAAGCTAACATTCCTGTTACTATCTGTCACTCAAATGGTGCTCAAAATATACAAATAAGATGTTTAACTCCTCAAGAAGAAAATCAAAAGTTTTTTGATGCATTGAGTACATCACCTCCATCTACTCTTCAAATTAACCAATCAAATAAAAATGAAACAAATAGACAAAGGAAATTATCCAACATTTTATCTGAATTGAGTCAAGGTGTGGTCTTCAAGTCATTATACACAGATGAGCCAAATTTCAGTATTAATTCATCTACAAAAGGCTTCTCTATTGATGAGATAAAGAAGATATTAAAAGAAGATCCTTCTATTCAGGATCTTAAAAGTGCCATCATTACTCGTCTGAAGGAATTAAATAAATATGATTTATTCAAATGCATGTATCAATTATCAGAATCATAACAAATATATAATTATTACCATGAAAAAAAAAAACGAACAGAAACTCATAATGGATAATAGAAAGTAATGGACAAGCATCAGGATGATTGGGATGTGCATATACCGCTTTTCCTGATGGGATATCGGTCCGCCGTGCATGTAACTACAGGGCAAACACCCGCGAGGATACTGTTTGGTAGTGAACTACGGTTGCCCATCGATTTAAAATTTGGAATAACCGGCGATGCGAGAAGAATTGGGAAGGTAACGTCTACCGATCTCGAGGGAGAGCTGAGAGAGGTGCATGCTCTTGTGAGACAGCGAACTCAAATTATGAGAGACAAAATGAAGGCCAGGTATGACAAGGCGATGAACTCCGAAGATTTCCAAAATGGAGATTTGGTGTTGCTGTACAATCCACAACGGAAGAGGGGTTTGTCCCCAAAACTTCAATGTAATTGGGAAGGTCCATATAAGGTAATCAAACGACTAAACGACGTAGTGTATCGAATCCAAACCGTTGGGAGTCCAAGAAACAAGTTGAAAGTGGTCCACCTTGAGAGGCTTGCTGAGTTTGGAACAGCGAATGTGTCTGATCGGGACGATCAGACTTAGGTGGAGGGCGAAAAATGCGAACCAACGAGAACCATCGATTGCGAACAACTCGATTATTCTACACTTTCGTCTACGAGCAGCCGACTTCTATATAAGGGCGACACTCAACTGCCAAGTGAAGTCAGTCACAAAGTGAACTCGTTGGCGACAACATCAGTATAGAGTCGTAAAGTAAACACGTTGGAGATTACATTTAAGTAAAGTAAATCGTGAAAGTTTATGCAATTGATTGTAGCTAGTAAAGTGCTTTGTAATTGAATTGTGAATTACCGAGAAAATAAAGGACATTAGATAAATTCTTTATAACGAAAGAAACTGCAAATTAAGTTGGCGAGTTTTTATTTAACAATCCAGAGATCGTACCCGAAGGATTCAGAAAATCATCGAGGTTGATTCAGCAAAATCGTATCAATATATATGGAATTTGACAAATGTTTAGAGTGGAGTTTGTGATTAAACACGCTAGCGGCTGCAAACACGCAGTTTACGCTTGGTAGAAACGTCCTATAATATTCGCGAAAACATCGAATGGTTAATTGTATCTGCTATGCGATACATTCAACGGCTTACGAAACTGAATCATAGATTCCGGTATAAATACCCGTCAGTCGCCTCTTACGACAGTCATTAATTCTTGAACCCCTAACCGCAGGGGTTGTTAGCGATTTGTCGAATAGTTTACTGTAGAGTGTAGATGGAGATTTATGCAAAAAGCAAACCATTAGTTTTCCTTGTGGCAACATTGTGCTATTAAGCAAAGGAAAATGTCAAAAAAGTTAGCTCACCACCGGTCGTCGTGCAAAAGTTTTGTATCAATAATTTCTTGGATTTCGACGTGAATGTTCTAATAAGGCGTAGTGTTTTATAAATATTCAAAAAATTAAATATAAAAAGTTCAATTTTGTGTAAATATGAATCGTTCAAGACGAACACCTCAGAATAGAACATTTGTCTCTGGTGGCATATATGTAAGTACAAGACGCTTTCATATTTTTTTTTACATAAAGTATGAATGTAGATGTTCTATGGATGTATGTATCTATCGTCAATATCGATTGGTAAAAAAATAATTTGTTAAGTTATTTTAAGGGCGAGAGTAGTTGCCTTATATATTGTAAAAGCATCGAGCCTTCGCAAGCGCAATAAAAATTTGTACATTTACTCATTTGCATACGTTTGTGTGTGCATCTAAAAAATTAGTATGCATCATATATCATTAGCTTTGCTTGGTAATATTGCTTAGGTATTACCACTGGTTGCGAAATTTAAATACAATTAATATTAAATTGCATATACATACGTAGAAAAATTGCATAAATTACATAAATGTAAATTTAACATGTTCGAGTATAATTGCAAAAATTTTAGTTAAGAAAACTGGATTGCGCTTCTGGGAGCTTGGCCGATTAAATAAATGTAGAAAGAATGCTTATGCCGTTTTTTTTCACATGAGTTCATACTGAATCAAACTTAATTCCTCTTTATATTAAAAACAAATTGAATAAATACACATTTCAATTTAAAATGTTGTTCTTACAAAAATTCCCCACCTCGGATGATTTTATGAAAAGTTTGAGAGTGTATATTTTTTACTGCAATAAATGTGTCCCCAAGCATTCTCTATCGCTGAATTAGGGAAACTGCCTAAAAAACACTTAGCCGGCGCAGCGACCATAATGATTTTTTGTATACCTACAACTTCAAAAAAATTTCAAATTGTTCTAAAACCAATTATTATTATTTTTTAACTAATTTAGTAACACAAAAATTAAGTATTTACAGAACGTTTGTGCCTAGTTAGATCTCTTTTTGGCTAAATCTTCTCGTAAAAGTTCAATAGTATGACTCATATTCAAGAAGGAACTTTGCATATTACTCGCCAATTGAATAGAGAGCGCTTTGATTATACATACATTTGTATATTTGGCTCGTTGCACTGAAAATATAATAAGATATTTTATATACCTACACCTACATGTTACAAATTTTATGTTTCTGTTTAAACTAAGCCAATTAATTAAAAATGTTTTGATGTCAGTGGTTAATAATTTATCATTCATTATTTAATTTATACCTTCAAAATAAAACCAAATGATGTTTAATTTTCATATATTTATATACATAGATATATTATAGCCTGCATCAGAGGTTAAAATTCAAATATGTCTAATTCTTTCCTTATAACCTTTTCCAGAATAAGTTTTTCATTATGATTTGTAAACCTTTCCAAATTTTTATTTATTTAACTTTATGGAATTGGATTTACTTCTACATTATCAAATATTTTTTTTTTAGCACATTTTACTTGGTTGATAAACAAAAAAGCAATTTAAGTTCTATTCAAATGGCGATGAGTATACATATTAGTAGGTATTTTGCGGTTATCAATATGAAAATTAAAATATACATAATTTGGGTTAACTTTCTCATTATTTTATTTCTTTATAATTTGCAGTGGCAAAGGTTGGTTGTTTGGTCGTGTATGCCCTGGCCATAAAAATACACGTATATACATATGTACATATAAACATAAGTGCCCTAGAGAGTAGACTTATTTGCAATGGTTTTTAAAACTGATTTAATCCGAATGCAGATTTGTCATAACCGCATATGTATATATAGTTGTTGTTGTTTGGCTTTTTGATATGCTCTGACCCGACCAGCGCAACAACTATATGTACATTGCGTATGAAAAAGCTATGGCAAGCAGAAATATACTACCAGATAGAGATTGGCAGTCATTCAGGATTTATCCGTTTTACAAGTTATTGGAAATTGGTCTATTTAAATATCTTCTTAAATATTAGTTTTGTATATCATGGTTATGTACATTTACTTCGCTGCAAACTCAAACGAAATGCAAAAAGCTGAAATAGACCTTAAAAGCGATATTCCATATTTAGAATTTGACTGGTTATTGTTTATCAACATTATGGCCCAGTTCGTGATAGCCAAATATGAAAATTCGACTTTAAATGGTTAACATATGTATGTAGCTTGTTTGTTTGCATATATACGGATATCATGGAGACGTATTCACAATTACTTGATCTCTACATATGTACATATATGTGATTGGTTGAAATTGTGCTTATTTTTTTCCAACATTATGTATGCATAATAAACAAACATATGTATGTATGTATGTATATAGGCTGTCATATAGTATGTATCCCACACAATTACTAAATGCAATAAGACAAGAGTTTCAGTCAGAAATTTTACATTTATTAATTGTGTGAACTACAGTTAGCAGATGTTAACGCATTGACGGCTCACACCCAGCGGGGGGGGGGGGTGTCAATACGTTATTTTTACTGCTAAATTCAATCAGTATTAATTCAATAGACCAATTTCGTTTGAGCACTGCCTGCAAGAATGTGCATAGCTATTGCTAAACTAAGGTTTTTGAGTTTGCAATTTCGAACGAATGCGCTATCAACGTGAAATCACCTCAACCCAGCCCAAAGTGGTTGCTTACACTTGTGCAACAACAATCACGACATTGGATTGTAATGAACACAGCGTAGAGCAAGAAGCCAAGAAGTGAACAGCACGAAAAATTGGAATTTGATAAATAATCTACTTTCTTGAAGTGTATTGGTTTGTGAAACGCATTTGGCAATTGCAGAGCGTAAGATTTTGAATTTTAGTTTGATGTAAAGAAAGTCTGTTAAATTACGAAAAAAAAGAAGTTATTTTTAATACACCAATATATATGTAAATTTAGTAATAATCTCTCATATTTTCTTATCTCATCAATACTGCTTTTTAGAATCCTTCATTCAACAATCAGCAAGGAAATAATTCCGACCAGCAGCAGGGATATCAGTCGACACAAGTTCAACAAAATGAAAATGCAGCAGAGGTGAAGAAAAGTATTATGAAACAACAGCGTCAACAGCCAACACCACCATTGCAACCACCACCACAACCTCCACGTATGGACGACGAGGAGCCGATGGAAACAAAGACCGAAGAAACCGCTCTATATGACGAAACTGGCAAATTGCAGTATAAGAATATTTTTCGTACACGCAAGAAGTCTTCCGGTATGCTCAATTAAACAAAACATGCATATATAAGTATGTATGTATGTACATATAGCGTAGCTGCATACATAAAAGTAATAATTTTTTTTAAAAACTAATATTTTCGAGGTAATATTTGTTGATATAGTTAAAAATGTGGGACGTTTGATTTTGTTTGTTTGTTTGTTTAATAAATCTGAATCCTGAATATACATACATACATATATATATACTACACCAATATATACAAGGCGCCACAAGTCTCACGACAGCCGGTTCTACGCACCAGAGTTGACCCGGATTTTATCTGGCCAAGGGCTGTCACCCTTTCGGCTAACCGCTGCAACAACAACATACAAGGCGCTTCTGAACGGCCGATAGATTTTTATAAGGAGCTTTTATTTCATGTCAGAAAGACAACACTTGGAGTGCTTTTGACATTCTCTGTCGAGTTGCGACCGCAATTTGAAATATTAAGTTTCTGAAACTTTTTTGATGTTGGTCGAACCAAAACTTGAACCCTAATCTTTGGAATGACAAAAATTTAATTATTCCGATAAATTAGTTTCAAATTGTTTCTTAATAAAGTATGAACTTGTTTGTTTTTGGGCTGCATCTTGTTTGAAGCATAATTTTAAGCATTGCCACCAATTCGATTCCCAAAACAGACTATTGTATTGGTTTTGGAATCATAGAGCTTTTAGTCCAAAGTATTTCTGTTATTTTAAGGGGTAAAACCACTCTAGGAATAGAATTTCTATTTAACCATTTCATTGAACATATATTGAAGTATAAAAAAATTCATTCATTCATTAAATTCATTGTTACCAAATAGCGGTGATAAAGTCCATTATTTAATCCATGTTTTTTCGAAAGGCGTCCACGGGAGGACCGATTTCTTCTAAAGGATGAGACCTAGAATAGAAAAGCAACAAGTTTTATGATCTACAAACTATGGTCTTTGGAAGTAAAAAAAGGACTAAATTTTGTGAAAGCGGCACACTTTACTTTTTAAAAGATTGATTTTTGACAAAAAAAAAATAAGCACCAAATTATAAAAAAAAGTTTACTTTTAAGCGAAAAACGGCTAGGTACTTATAAAAAAGGCATTTGTGAAGCTACCATCAAAATTTCAGATAAATCGATGCAATAGTGTCCGAATAGTCTGGTCTCCCAGTTTGAAAACTGTCATTTAAAAAAAAAAACCCCATTTGAGGGGCTGTGGCACAATAGAAAGTTCAGCTATTTGAAATATTTGTTACACTTTAAGCCCAATTACATATCATTTCTAGGATCCAAAGGTAACCTGTCCCTGTGAGCAAAACAAAAAAAAAATCCTAGAGTGGCTTTACCCCTTAAGAACAATTGGATCAGTTCTGAGCTTAAATACTAAACAAAAAAAAAACTACTTTGTAGCAACATTTATCGGTGCAGTGACGATATACAGATATATAAATATATATACATATATGTATAAATACATTTTATGACCGTAACCAATTTAGTTACCTATTAATTATTTGTTATTTATTATTTATGTTATCCATTTATATACATTATTGTTTGTTTCTATAGTACGTGCCAAGGAGAAGAAAATCCGTCAAAATCGTCAATTACGCAAAACTCTAATACCGAAGAATGCACTAATGGCCTTGAATGAGGTAGTTGGCTTAACAATTAGTGAGTTCATCATAACCAGCTCCACCGGTGGAGGTTTTGTAGCTGTTGTTAGCGTAAATGATAAACAGTATGAGGGTAAAGGTAATTCCAAAATGGCTGCCAAGAACAATGCCAGCGAGAAGGCTTTACGCGATTATGTGTTGGAGAAAATGCGCGAGAAGCCACGCTTAAGAAAGATTTCAACCAATAATGATGAAGCTTTGGACACGAGTGACATGCAGCCAAACAATGGTGAGTGCTGAAGACCAGGTTCCTCCAAAACACGTGTTTTTTTGTTTTTTCAAACAAATTTTATTTATTAAAAAAAAGTATAAATCAAAGTTTATGTAGACGTATACATTTTAATTTAATTTTTTTTTTAAATGGCGACTCTTAAATATGCTGCTGAAACACATCCCTTTTGTTGGTGGGTTACACGATAACTGTAAATCGAATCATCTGAAAGCGAAAATCAAAACGGTTTATTACTTTGTACCACATTGTCTATGGTCGGAAGTACAATAAAATTATTTCACAAAAAAAAAAAAAAAAAAAAAAAATGGCGAACTTTTTAAATTTAACTTACCCTTTTTTCAATTTTAATTGTTTATAAATTTTTTAAATAACAATGAATATTTTTGGTTGTGGTACCGACCATAGAATGATATTTTAAGAGCAAAATTCCGTTTAGTTCATGCTGATAAGTTCAATAGGTTTCAAATGAGAGTGCCACCTAGTTAAAAAAACGTGGCTTCGGGAAAAAGGCGATTCAAGTATTTCTTCGTGATTATTATCGCGTGGCGCGATCTGCTCCTCTCTCTTCTATACTTACTTTTTGGTCTTGCGGACTAAGTCTATATTTCAGGAAAACTACAATATTAGTTAAAAAAAGCAGGCTAATATTTTAAAACATAATATCCGAGGTACCTAAGTCTACAAAAAAAAAAAAAAAAAATAAAAAGAAAAAAAAATAATAATTAAAATAAAAAAAAATAAATTAGTAATAAATTAAATTGAAAAAGTAAATTAAAAAAAATTTAAAAAATAAAAAAAATTTTAAAAATAAAAAAAAAAATAAAAAAAAAATAAATAAAAATAAAAAAATGTAATTAAAAATAATTATAATAAAAAATAGTTAAAATAAAAAAAAAATAACAAAATTGAAAAAATAAAATTAAAAATTGGAATCATTTTCAATCATATCCTTACTTTTTTTTATTTTACAATTTTTTTAAATATATACATATATTTTTTTTATAGAAGAACCGAGCGAGAACGGCGACGATGGTCAGCAGGATAATGTGTCCAACTCTGGCGCAACGCCTGCTTTCGATGATGTACCAATGGTCAATTTGGCTTCATTTGCTATATATAAGTTATTCACTGAATGGGAGAATGAAGGTTATGCTGTGCCCGAATTGCGTGTAGCTCATCCCATACAACCGGGCTCTGGCACCGATACAGAGACAAGCCCACAACCTAAGATACCAAAGGCTCCACCAGTGCGCTCTGAATTGCCCCACAATTGGGAAACCATCCATCCCTCTACTCTACTTTGTATGGTAAATTTAAAACTTAATATTATACATATACAAAGAATGAAAAAGAAAAGAACTGGCTTCGGCTATGCCGAGGTCTTTATACCTTTCGTGTTAATAATATACCATTTCATGTACATGAAAGGTATAAAAAAGCAAAAACAGCAAAAAATGTTTTTAGGTGTAACTACAGACGTACATAAATGATGTTATTTGTTTTTGTTCTGCCAATATTTCCCTCTCTCTAGATGCGGCCAGGATTACAATATCGTGAATTAGGTACAATGGGTGATGCACCAAATGTTCTTCAGCGTATGGGCGTTACAGTTGACGATGTAAACTATGAAAGCTCTGGTCGCTCGAAGAAGACTGCTCGTCGCAATGTTGCCGTTTGTGTGCTCAACGAGTTATTTGGCACAAATTTCACAAAGGAGGAACCATGTGCAGATTAGAAGATAGTATTTAACATAAACATTGTACATACATATGTACGAGAATATACATTTAATATATGTATGTGGAAGCACTATTTATTCTCATTGTAATGAGAAAGAAATTAAATTAAGTCTTAATGTGAAATTTTACAAATAAATAGTGAACCTTTAAAAGTAGAAAAAAAATTCTGTGGTTTTATTATCCTGATGATGTCCGCCCAAGACAGATTAAACCATTACAGCTCAACTTCAGAAAGGATTCCATGAGTAGAGCGTGGAGTTAATGAACTTAATGAGCCAGGAGCAACTGTAATAGCTCCAATCTAAGCAACCAAACAAAACGGTTGCTCTTTTGTTGTTGTAGCCGCAAAAATATTACCCAAGGTAGTTGTAGTAGGATGTTGGGAGACTGACAGTCCATGGCCGGATAAAAATCCGATTCGTTCGGGGTAGAATCAACGGGGAAAACTTAGGAATTTTGGTCGCCTCTTACGATAGGCATGCCTTACCGTGGGAAATATTCTTCCACAGCTACCATCGTGAGCCCCGATTAGTTGCGCTACCCGAGAAGTGACTCTTCATGACGTTGCACAAGCGTTCGACAAAGTCTGGCATAAAGGTTTACTGTACGAAATACATAAAGCTCTGCTTGTTCAATTTTATATGATACTTAAGTCATATCTGACTAACAGACAATTTACCATTAAACAATCTGAATTTATCAGTGAGGAGTATTTGGTAAAAGCGGGTGTTCCGCAGGGTAGCGTCCTCGGGCCTATTCTACCTTTGAGGATGACACAGCTATTTTATGCCGGAATAAATGCCCTAAAAGAGCGGCAAGAACGATTAGTGATCATTTACTCCTCAGCGAAGAATGGCTAGAAAACTGGAGAATAAAAGTTAATGAACAAAAGTGTAAACACGTCACATTTACTTTAAGACCTCAATCATGTCCTGCAATTCACTTAAATGGTATAAACATTCCCCAAGTAAATGGTGATACATATCTCGATATACACTTAGATAGACGTCTCACTTGGAAGAGACACATAGAGGCAAAAATACTACACATGAAATTAAAAGCAGCTAGTTTAAATTGGCTTTTAAATAAAAACTCCGGTCTAAAATACAGAGGTGAGGTTCCAATCTAAAATTTTAAGAGCACTAACGGGCCATTGAAATTGAAAGAAGCAGGACGAAGTACTTCACAAAGCTAAGAAAGCATCCAAATCCGCTAGCTAATGCTTCATGCAACCGATCGAGAAATTCCCGCCAGCAACGAAGAGATGTTCCCGCTTTCTAAGGAGAGCGCCATAGTTTAAAAAAGGCTCAGAGTTAAATAACTCGAGCTATCATGTTTGTAATTTAGTTTTTAAGATTTGTACACTTACTGTTAGGCTTATATTATAGCAGATCCAGTAAATAAATGAATTCTGTATAAAAAAGACTTCATGCTCCACCATGAACGACGATATCCCTGCCAGAATTGTGGACAGTTGCCAAACCTCGCCCGAAATCTCAATCGCTAGCGCTCGTCTGATAAACGCTAACGTAGGCTAATTCAAACGGCTTTTTAAAATATCGAACCGGCAACTGACATAAACTGCTAAGCACCAGCGCTCGATGTATTTCTCTAGCGAAGTTCAGTTACAAAGTAAATTATCGTGAAAATTTCAATGTTATTACTAAAAAACTTCGAAGTAATAAGCATATGGATCCACAGGGTGATGTTTTCTCCCCGACGTTGTGTAATTTTTTATTTCGAATTCCCTCCAACATCAGAGTGCTTTTCCCTAACGTCACATTCCGATGGCCCCTGACTAGGATATTGAACAAACTTTGTTCGAAGGTAAACTGCCATCTCTCCAGCACCGATTGGGACGACCGAGGCGGATGAAGAGATTATATTCCTGTCAGAACATTTCCTTTAAGACCCTGATGTCCTGTGTACATGAACTACTTGTACATCGACACTTGGCGCTTTGTAACCGCTGGAGTGATTCTTGACCGAGCTACGCTTCCAATTTGTGGTTTTGTGTTGGAGGGATCTAGAGTTTATACTAAACCGCCTCCGAACGGCGGATGGGTTTTTATGGGGAGCTTTATTTTCATGTCCGAAATACACTCGGGGGAGTGGACATTCCATACCGAGGGGCGACCGCAGTTAGAAAAATTTAAATTACCAAGTAAAATAGCACAATGTTATACTGTGTGTTGGGATCTTACTGCAGGACACCTGCATGGTGCAGAACCTCTCGCCAGGCAAATCAGGTAGGGAGTACCCAACTTTGCGGACTCGCAACTGACATGCATTAAACGCCATTCACAGAGCGTCAGTCAAAAGTTTATTCCGGTGAATGCATCTTTTCGAATTCGAGCTTGTCTTGTGTTGTTTCTCTTGGAAAACCTTATACTTCGGAAGTTAAGATGGATGATTCCCCAATTAATTTTCACAAAAAATGTGTAATAAGAAAATATACAAATATAAAAACAAGTTAATAAATATTAAATAAATAAAAAAATAAAATAAAAAAAATAAATAAAATAAAATAAAAATAAAATAAAACAAACAGTTTTTACATTTCTTTTTTAATATTTAATAATATAAATGAAAATAAAAAATAGTAATTTATAAAATAAAAATAAACAGATTTTCATATAAAATAATATTATATTTGAATGTCGTTACAATTCAACCTGTTTTCACACTAACAACAAATAAAATACAATTCGTTTCATATGCCTGCCTTTATTATTTTTATCTTTGAATGACAATAAAATATTAGTTTCATATTTTGGCTTTACATAAATCTTATATATTTTCCCAGTTTAATGGTTTTTTTTTATTCCTTTTTTTTTACATTTTTAATGAATTGCTTTGATTTTTTCTTTCTTTTTTTTTAGATCGTTTTAATCGACGTCTAATGAACGAGCACTTCACAATTGCGACGACGTCAACTGAACGGAGATGGTGTACAGTGAGTACCCGTCCGTGCGTGCCGTTAGTTATCATTGATTGACATTCAAAATTCAAATTCAAATTCAAATTCATTTCATTTGTTGATTTGGTAATTTGTGGATTTTGCAGCACTAAAAAGAAATGGTCGAGCAAATAGTGTAACAATTTAATACGCTTTACATTTTATTTCAAATACCAACTCATGCCCATATATACCTATGTATGTTACATACATATAGTATATACCGCAAACCGGATAACCACCGATTGATTGATTGATTATTGCATGAAGAAGAGACTTCTTACAACGAAATTTAATCATCATCAAAAATGCATTACTCTTAATTCGATCTCTCTCAACACACATCATCATATACATACATATACGATACACGTATGTATAGATTTATGCAAAATGTATTTATGTTAGTTTTAAATGAATGTGTGATTTCTTTTTTATATTTTGTATGTATGTTTGTATTGTAATATTGCAAATACAATGCATGTGTGTATGTAATTTTTGGAATGAATTAAAAAAAAAAAATATATATATTTATTATATATATTCAATAAAAACAGAATATTTTAAAATTCAGAATTCAGCGCATAGTAACATTATTATTATTTCACGTACAAGTAGTGTATGTCATATACATATATGTATATTTTTGTGTAGATATATACCGCAAGTTTACTATTTTCTCCTCTTTTGCGTTTAGCTTCTTCTAATAAAATAAAATTATAAAGGAAAAATTTGGTGAAATTGAAAAAATGAAAAAAAATATATAAAAAAATTAAAAAAAATATATAAAAAAAATTATTCAATATTAGAACAAATGATTTCTTTTTCACGTGATATTCGAAAATTAAAACTAAATTTTTGTTTTTAATTTTTGTTAAGCTATAGTTAGTGATTTTTTGTTTGTTTTTGTTTGCAATAAGCGCGTTTCATTTTACAACGTACTCAAAAAAGAACTACACTTACTTATGAATACAAGAAAAAGAAAAAAAAATAAATAAATAAAAACAAGAAAAGAAAAAGTATTTCCATGTAAAATATTGTAAAAACGGAATTTGTGCAGCAGAGCTCACTCATATTCAAATTTTAAATTCAACATCACATTTCACAGAATGATTTGCACTTATTTAGCAGCAAAAATATACAATTGGGCTCACAAAAATTGAGTCTTCTGCCAATTATAATTATTTTTCGTTTTTTATTCATACTTTTTTTCTTCCCCGAGTATAAAAGAGAATCACGAATAAATTCGATAATTCCATTTTTTTTCCGCGAGTCCATTTTATAAATATACATATGTATGTATATATTTTCTGTATATTTCTAGTAGTACATATACATTAATATCGTATGTAATGTAAAAAAAAAAAAAAAAATTAAAAAATTAAGCCATGATTATATATGAGTTAAAAGTTGTATACCTTACGCACATATACGTACTATATGCTTGTATGTATGTATGTATGTATGACAAAAATTTACATACCAATGTTTTGACGTTGTAATAATAAACTATACTTCGGTTTCTCTTGTATAAATAAATTTACTCTACTAAAACTGTATCACATACACACACATAGGCCAAATGCCTATCATTCTACTTATGTCACTTAGTATTTTCCATATTTTCTCGCTTCTTCTTGTTCAAGTACAAAAAAAGAAAAAAAAAAAAAAGTTGAAAACTATTTTATTCATATATGTATATAGGTAAATTGAATTTTTTCAGACTTTTAAAGCTGCACACTTTGGTATGCGCAAATATATATTTGTTAATGCTATGCTCAAAAATATAAAATTTTAATGCTCATTAACAGCAAAAAAATATATGTACATACATATCATCTTGCTGTGTTTTTTGTTAATTCATTAATGTTTCTTTTGTTTACATACGATATTTTTGTACTGGTAAACTTAAAATATAATTTTTTTTGTTTTAATGCACTACTATATATTTTTGCTTTTAGGTGGGCACAAAATGGAAAACTTTTTGACGAAATTTTCGGATTTTTTTTTTTTTAAATTCGCGTAAAACAACAGTGCAGAAAGTATTTGCAACAAAGAATTTGTTTACGCAAATTAATTAAAGATTTTTAGTTGAAGGTAAATTAAGGTATTAAAATAAACTAAAAAAAAAAGTATTGATGAGTGCATAAGTTCGTGCACGATTTCAAGTGCAAACTAAAATTGAAATTTTTTGAAGAAAGCGCT